CCTTCTTTCTCCTCCCATGGAAAGACATCAGTAAAAGAAAACAGTGCATTCTTGGAATGAGAGACATTGCTGCAACCTAGGACACAGCAGTGAATTGCTCCTGAGTATGGAGCCATGCAACACCAGTCCTTGAAGATGCTGGGAGTGGGAGATGCTGGGAATGCTGAGCATAACATGCCAGAGACCTGGCTCTGTGGTGGAGCTAGGGGAGATCAGTGGGAGCATTTGAGTTCCTCCTCATGCAACTTTCTAAAAGGTTCCATCTTATTCAGACTGCATCAGAAAAGAGTTGAAGTCCATGAATAAATATCTTTGGGATGAAATTAGGTTGCGCAACAGGAATAGCATTTTGCAGGTGGAGGACCTCAGCAAATATTTCTTGCTCAGGTTGTTGAAATAATATATTGGGGACCAATGACTCAAAACCAAAAGAAACCAACCTTCATTAGCTCCGTTGCCTATAGAAGAATGGTTTTAAGCATATTGGTGCTTGAAGATCTTTTTTTTGTCTTTTTAGTTAGAGACCATAAATGCTATAGTAAACAATCACCAATCCATTGATGTGATTCTTTGTTGTAATGCATGTGAAACTCTCTATAAAGGAACACTTTCTTTAGGCCCATGTAATCTAGAGCTTACTTACTGAAGACAGAGAATGAAAACGTCTGATTTGAAATAACGTGGAGATGAAAAAAGCAGTTTTTGCTTTTAGCCAAATAGAACAGTATGAGCAAATTAAATTGAGAAAAAAATTGAATATTTTGTGGTTGTTTCTTGTTCACATCTTTAAGGTAATTTATAAACTGCATTTATAACTGAATGTCTAAAGTTCTACTTAACATATCTTGTTTAAGTAGTAATATAAAATCAGATACTGCCCACAATGTCTCTCAACACATTGTAAAGTTCACGATGTGTCGCTTGATACTGCTACCTCCCTAATTAGGTATCACATCATGAAAAACTTCAGTGGTTGGAAGGAAAACATTACTATTGAATTCTCTTGTTTTTAGTCTCTATGAAGTGCTTTCTGGTTCTCCACAGATGTTTAATATAACATAAAGATAAATGATCTTTCTTAAAGTGCCCTGAAGAGAAGCCAAATATATCCATCAACTGATGCATTTTCTTCAGTCACAGTTTGGAAATAATGTAGGATAAGAAAACAGTTTCATACTACTGTTACATATACAGAAAGGTGAAAAGGAAGTACATACATCAAAGACGTTAACAAAAGTTGAATTTGGACAATATACGACCTATTATGGAATCATTTTTAATTTTTATTTTCCTACCTTGTGCACTGGCTTCATTTTCTAATTACAGAATAAATTAGGAGTTGGACTAGATGATCTGTAGAAGTCCCTTCCAACCTTAACCATTCTGTGATTCTGTGATTTTCTGATGTCTATAATTTTGATGGACTTGTCAAGAAATCCAGAAATTATGGAAAACAAATGAGACACACAGTCTGATCATTTAGGATTGTTTTGTTTTTCCTAGGATATTCCTATCCTAGCAAAATAAAAATTGACCCTCTGCTGTCAAACCAAAGGATAATGTTATTAGTCCTTTCCCCCTTCCAAGTTAGTTCTCTCTTTCATCTAGTTTCCACTGGATAAATGACGCTGTCTTTTGTAGCTCTTGAGCTACAATTACATCTCATGGAAAAATTAATAACTGGTGCCAGARTTGACTTGGAGCTACTGAATAAACAGCTGGTGCTGTGATGTTAGGATCCAGTGGAAGGATGGGGTGTTTTTTGAGAGTCAACTCTAATAGAAATATCAACGTGTCTCACGCAGAAGACAAGCAGAGGCTGACAGCAAGGGTACCTTACAGAACAAGCAGAGGATGATACCAGAGGCCCACAAGAGCATAAATAGAAATCATTTATTATACGTTACTAAATGTAACCTTGAGAGATGGATAAACCAACCTGAAGGCATAAGAAGGAGAACAAGGCATATAAACAACATAAATAAAATATCCCCTATGTGATGAAAATGCAAAGATCTTGAGAAGCTAGAAAAGGCAGAACAAAGGCCTAGGACAAAGGCAGGACAAAGAAGAATCAGCTACAACACTATCCCCTCAGTTAAGGGCATGACACCTGATCAATGCTGATGATTTTCAGGGCATTTTCAACCCTCTCTTTTTCAGCAGAAAATACTGCTTTTTGGTTTGCTATTTGCCTCATTTTGCCATTGCAGACTCAGAAATTTATTACTTTGAGTATTTAAGAATTTTAAGCAGTACTTAGTGCATGCACATGTGTGTGTGTTGCCATCTTTCACCTTTAACTGTGACTCTGTGAACTGGATGGCAGGGTGAATCTAAGCAGAATGCAGCAGATGGGTCTATTCATCACTCAGTGTGCAGAAGATGTAGGGAGATAAGTGCAGTTTCTAGTAGCATTGAGAGTAATGATGATGTACAATGATGTACAAGGAGCTTGGATTGGCCATGGAATTTGCCATGGAATGCTCTTGCTCCAAAGCTAGGCGATGAGAAGACAGCTTTAGATTTGCTCTGTCTGAAAAGGAGTTCTTTATTTTGTCCTACAAGACAGGAGGAATTCATTTCTTCCTAGAGTCCCAAAGTTATATTAATCCAGAAAAAAAAAAAAAAAAAAAAAGAATACAGAAAAGTGATATATGATACTGCATACAATGCACATATGCACATACTTTATTAAAACTTTCCTGGAGAACTGCACACTCTAGAATAGCCAAAGCTTGACTCATGACTGCCTTGTGCCTTGTAGTCTTAGATGCTCAGTATGGATATAGGAATAGCAGTAACTTCATGAAGTAGGGATATCAATCAATGAAGTAGGGATAACTTCATTGGACATATGATGTCTGCTTTCCCATTGCATGTTTCTATTGAGAATTCCCTTCAGGGCAAGCCAGTGAGTACCAAATATATTTCTTACTGGTTAATGAATTGTGAAAGAAAGCCCTAAGGTAGTCTCAGTATTATTCTTTTTCTGAGCAGTTGCTGAAGACCAGCTGTAAGCTGTCACAGCTCTGCTGTGTTTGTAGCTGTAACCTCATTTCTGTAGTCACATCTATCCAAACTTTATGAATCTCACTTTCAGCAGGTGGGGCTCTTTCTTTTTAAATACACCTTTATTCATACCATGCTCTACCTGCTGGTGAAATCTAAAATACAGGCAATGACACAGACAGAAACTACTGTGATAGCTAGGATTCCGACTGGAGACCAAGAAAGCCACAGTCAGATTAAGCTTTAGAGAGACATGGCATGGTGGAAATATGACTAAAGATACTCATGCAATCAGAATCAGAAGTATTTTGGCTGCCTGACAGGCAGCAGACCCCATCTACTGCATGGAGTTTGATGAGAATCAGATTTTCACACAACCACAGAATCATAGAATCGTTATAGTTGTAAAAGACCTTCAAGTTAAATCACAAGATCATCAAGTCCAACTGTAAACCTAAATGATGAAGCATTGCATTTTTGATTGGAAAGGATTCAACACAGGTGACATTTATGCACCATCCCTTTGCAGCATGAGGTACTGGAGCCTAAGCACTGACTTGAGTCCAAAAATTTCTTGTTTTTCAACAGCTTCCTGTGTGAGTGGGCTTGATAAAGAGGAAGGCTGGAATGCCACATTTTTGGATATAAGTGTTTCACCCTTTCCCCTTCTCTCCAATACATAGGATTTTTAGTCATTATTTAACCATAAATGTTTGCAAATAAACGTATTTCTTCTGTTATGGAATCAATTGCAGTATGTTGGGCCTTAGTTCTCCCTCAAACCCTGTGGGTGATAATGACATGGTATGTAACTGTCTCCTTCCAGTATTAGAAATGTGTTTTAAAAAGCAGAAATGACCAAGTAGAGTTTCAATAGGTGTAATTTTGCTAATAGCTGCACAACAGTGCATGGGACTTGCAGTCATCAACTGGGATGTCTGTCTCCCAGTTAGATTTTGTGCAAACTGCTCCTGCGCCAAACAGCTTGCAGCTCCAGCCCTGTCAGACCTAGAGTACGCCAGGCTCCAAAACTCTTCCCTTGGATTGGTTTCAGAATCGCTTTACAATTATTAAAAGTGGTGCATGCTTTTAGCATTACCATTTAATGTTGGTCTATGTCCCTAGTTTCTTTTAAGCATGGATTAGCTGAACTGGTTTTAAAATTTATTATAATTAGAAAAAGGAAACGAAATCATGTTCCCTGTTGACCTAACCCTGGACGATGTTACTGCTTCTCACTTTGACATGAAAGCTGGAACATCTCTTGTACTCTGTCTCACAAGCACTTTCTCAA